CACACACACACACACACACACACACACACACAAACACACATATATATTTATATTTTTCTTAGCTATTTGGATAGTCTATTGCCATATATCTGACTTACAGCTTTGTAGTCATCTCGTTTGCATTGATTGGGAAATGACAAGGTTATGCTTTATATAGCCATAAAGATGACAGCATACATTTTAATATTCTAATATTGTTAACATCAATCTGACAGCACAAAATCAAATGTTTCTTCCTAAATATGGAATAGAGAAAATTCTCCAAGATTGCTTACTCAATACAATTTTATATACCATTATAAAGGCAAATTGGCAGTACATATATTGTGTGCAATATAAATTTCCCATGCTCAACTAAAAGTGGCATAGGCCTCTGCTATTGTAGAGTTGAAGAAATCATTCAGCATTTCCAGGAAAATAAAATTAGGATACCTGACTTCATCCTGCACAAAAATCCCACAAAATCAAGTTTGTGTTTCAAAACAGAAGAAAGGTTATTTTCTCTCTGCTGTCAGAATTTTCGTATTGGGCTTAAGCTCAGTTGACTTGATTCTGCTCCCTTTATTGACTGCATATTTCCCTATTTCAGTTCCTCACTTCCATTACTGGTGCTTTCTTCTCCTCCCAAATAAATTTCTTGCATTCTAATTCTTGTCTCAAGGTCGACTTGTGGAGGAATCTAAATTAAGAAAGGCGGTTTCAATTACTACTTGCACAGATCTATAAAAGTCTATCTTCCAGTACTTTTTAACAAATTATTTTTTACTAAGAGTTGGAAATCGCCATAGAATTTCAACTTGATCACTTACTGACTACCTACCATTTGCCTAGATTTTCTTCTGACATTATTTTAGCTGTGTGTTTCTGAGGCTCTTTCCCGTATATTTCTTTGTTTTCTCTTTCTAAAACTAAACCAAGGACAGACTGCAAAAAGGAAACTGTACCCTGATAAGAATGTGCTGAGATACGTTATTTAATTTAATCCTCCACCCATCCTGATAGACAAATCATATGGATTTTAGTAATGATATTTGTTTGGATGTTTATCTACTATAACAAATTACATACATTTATAGAAATTTATAGATGTTTCTAGAACCTCCACTACTATTTCCTTGTCTTGTTTCATTATTAAAAAATAAAAAATATGATTTCTTATCTTAGTTATTCTTCTAGAAACATCGCTCTACTAATTATGACAAGTAGTAAATAGATTTTATGAAAGATAAATAGTCTTAAATAATGAGTTATCAATTACTGCATAGTGCCTGTATCTGAGCTCTATTGCAAACCATATCAGTGCATTTTAAATTTAAAGGATAATAGTAGAGACAATTAACAATTAAAATATATCAAAATTATTGACTGGTAATAACTTATTTAAAGGTCAATTACTAATTTTCTTTTCTTGGGCAAATCAGGTTGGGTGGCAATTTATAAAACTGATCATGTGAATAAATATAGTAAAAATAGTGAGATATCATTATAAAATATTAATAATCCTTAAAGAAATTATGTTTTTAAAATTTGATTAGTATTGTAGTCAAAATTCTTTCTGAGGTTTCTGAAAACTAAACACACAAATAAATGTAACCAAATACTGAAATATAACAGTCAAAATAATTCACAAAAAATAATTTGTGTAACTGTTGGAAACAGGAGGCAGTTGACATTACAAAGTGGGCAAGTGCACAAATACACATAGAAACACATGCCTTTAGTGTTTTTTCCAAAATGTATTTTTTTCTTTCTTTTTTGGTACTGGGGATTGAACTCAGTGGCACTCAATCACTGAGCCCTAGCCCCAGCCCTATTTTGTATTTTATTTAGAGACAGGTTCTCATTTAGTTGCTTAGCACCTTGTTTTTGCTGAGGCTGGCTTTGAATTCACCATCCTCCTTCCTCAGCCTCCTGAGCTGCTGGGATTATAGGCGTGTGCCACAGCACCTGGCCAAAATGTATTTTTTCTTGATTTTAATTAGCAGGCAATAAATGGTCTATAAAATTCTAATTTTATTGTTTAAAACAGAGGTACAACCCATTAAAACCTTTTCAGGCAAAGTTCTACTTCAAGAAAAATAAAGCACCTTTGAATATTCACATACATTTGGTAAAATGTATGGTAAATCCCTAACTGCAACACTTGGAGCTTAAATTATTACTGTCAGGAACAGATTGTGTCAATCTGAACTAAAGGTAAAGAACTCTAAACTTTAAAAAGTTTGCTGGATATGTGTGATAGTTTACCTGATATGTGTATGCTACAGGTAAATTTAATAAAATAATGGAAACCTATAGTTTTAATAATAAAATAAAGAAAATTTTTAGTTTGTTTTATTATTAATATTTGTGGTAATGGGGATTGTACCCAAGTCCGTCACAGAGCTGGGCTAGAAAAATTTTAAATTAAACATTTTAAATAGGTTATTCTCATGGTTCAAATATCAAAACATTTAAATACAAGTGGAGTGAAAAGTCCACCTCCTATGCCTCCTATTCATTGAGTATGCATATTTAATATAAGTTTGTCCTAGTTTTACATACATATAAGCTAATAAATTATTCTATATCATTTTATGCTGTTTTTCATTTAAAAATATCTTGTAAATCTTAATATCAAAACATAAAGAGCAGGGTGTAGTGGTGTACAATGTAATCCCAGTAACTTGGGAGGCTGAAACAGGGAGATCTCAAGTGTAAGGCCAGCCTCAGCAATTTTCCAAGTCCCTCAGCAACTCAGTGGTACACTGTCTCAAGATAAAAACCAGAAAGAAATGGGGATGTACCTCAGTGTCCCTGGGTTCAACCCCAAATACTAAGTGAGGGATGGAAAGAGAGAGAGAGAGAGAAAAAAAAAATGTTTATTCTTGTCTCACAGTTTTCGAGGTCCTAGTTCCTGATTGGTAGGTCCTGTTGATTTGAGTCTTTGGTGAGGCTGCAGCACATAATGGTAGGAACACATGGCTAAAGCAAAACTGCTTATCTTATGGCTGGGAAGCAAAAAAGAGAAAGATAAACAGAGTTTCACAATCTCCTTCAGTGATCCCTCCTCCCCCAGATGACTTAAAGGTCTCACTCTAGCCCTAACTTTCAAAGATTCTACTATCTCCATATAGAGCTGTCCTGGGAACCAAGCTTGGATCTTTGGGGTTACTTATCCAAACTGTAGCACTTTAGGAATACCTTATCATTTCTTATATGTGGAAATGTCTCTTTGGGACAAATCCCTAGAAGTGAAATTGGAGATTCTGAGTATATATGCATTTTTAATTTTGATAGATACTGCCAAATTCCCTTTTCCCTAAAGCCTAGCCAAAGTCGTGATGCCAGATATAAATTAATGGTTTTCCATTTAGAAATACACAATAAAAAGTAGGTTGCCTATTAAAGAATTAGAAAGAAAGTGGGACAAATTTATCCAGCAACTTGCAGAGCTCATTTTCACTCAAAAATACATTCAACAGAATTTCTTGAGGATCTACCCTGTGCCAAGAGCTTTTAGGCACTTGGGATACATTCACAAACAAATCAGACTCACATTCCTGCCTGGGTGTGGAACTTACATTTGAGTTCTACATTTTGGAACTCTCTGCTTCTTCCTGAGAAGCCAGTTAAATGTCAAAATCCTGAAAATGATCTATTGAGATCCTGTGTACCGGTTCCAGACATATGCTACAAGTATTATTTAAAAACTAGAGGCACTGTTGCATATGATTTCATAACTCTCCATCAGGTCCTTTTAAACAACACACTGGTGAGAGAGCTCTTTTTATCTGACTCCATCTGCTGTTGGTAGTGATCAGCATACTGTGGGCATTGTGGTATCATCTGAGATTAGATTGTGAAATAGGAAATGGAGTTACAAGCAGATTTGCAAGTGTATGCGAACTGTTCGTTTCTATATCTTGCTGAAACTAAGGGTGCCCAATTCAGGTTTGGGGAGTAGGCAAGACAAGGTTATCAGCACATTCCTATCAGGGCACAGTTTCCTTTTTGCAGTCCGTCCTTGTTTAGGTTATAGAAAGAGATCACAAGAAGATTCCATGGAAAATAGTTTTAGAAGCAGATAGCAGTGATGATCTGTTATGCTGAACAAGGGCATGGAAAAGGGAACATGTTAGAAATTAAGAAAAGACGATAAATGTAAAGGGAATAGCAAGTGCAAAGATACAGTATAGTCTCAGAGTTATTTTTTAAAATTCTTAATTTAAGCATCTTTCTAAGAGGAGAATCTCTTGAAAAGTTAGCACCCATTAGATTTAATTTAGTAGAAGGCTGTTGGCTATAGCTGTCAAAGTCTTGTCAACATCCCAGTTGTGTTCCCTGGGGAATACAAGGAATTGCACCCAGGGTCTGGCATGAACTAGGCAAACACTACTACTGAACTACATCTCCAGTCTCATCTTAGTGGACTTTTTGCATCATTTAAATGACAGTGGGGCCCAGTGCAGTGGCATATGCTTATCATCCCAGCTATTCCAGAGGCTGAAATAGGAGGAACAAAAAGTTTGAAGCTAGCCTGGGCAAGTTAGCAAAACAAGAGGACTGAGGATATAAGTCTGTGGTAGGGTGCCCCTGGTTTCAATCCCCAGTCCTGGGAAGGGGGGGGTATATATATAAATCGGTATATTATAAAATGAAGCACAGCAAAAAGGCAACTCCAGAGAGTGGCTCTTGAACCATATCCTGGTTTTATTTTTTTCTTTCTATATTATTAAAATTTCATCCTGGTGTCACAATAGTCACAATAAACAAGTGGATAAAGAACGAGTGATTTCTGAAGCCCCAATAATTCTCAGTTTCTCTTCCCAGTTTTTAAATTCTACAGCTAGACAAGAGAATTTAAGTCAACATTCTCATCTGGCAATTAATGGAAGCCAGGTCTCTCTTCTGATTCCCATTCCAGCAGAGCTCTTTCATCATTCCAACAGAATCACCATCAAAAACCTTCAATGCCTATGATTTCTGGGCTCTATGCTACTATGCAAATGTTGCAAACTGGAATGAGTTTGGCCAACGATACTGGACCTTAAAGTCTGGGGCCAAGGACCCCTTAATGAGTAGTCACACTGCTCTGGTGCTGTCTGAGCTTGGAGCCTCCATCCATGGGTCCCAGGGGTCTCCTCAGCCTTGAGGGAACACAGCTGATCCAGCACTCTGCTCTGGTTGTCTAGGCCAAGGATAGCTGAGCACAGACCTGGTAATGGACTCAAAGTCCCCAGAGTTCCACTTGGTTCCCCTAAGGCAGCGTGTAGCAATTTTTGAATCTACCAGTGGGATTTCCTGGCCTTTGAACAACTGACCTAAGCCTGGCAGTAGGTGCCAGGGCGCCAAGGGAGCGGACAGGGTCCAGGCCCCACTCTTTCCCTGGGCTCCATTCTTGCCACCCTACTACTCATCTACTTCCCGTGCGCCCTTCCATTCTCGTCTCCGCGAGCGTTTTCTCAACACTTCCCACTTCATGTTTACAAAGTGCTTACGCCCACTTGGCCGCCAGCTTTCTCG